CGTGTGATTTCTGTCTTTAAAACAAACAAAACACTCTAAAAAAGAGGTATCAGGAAAACTGTAATTGTATAGTACTGGTTGAGCGGTACCGGGTCCACACTGGTTTGGCTTCTCGTCTTCCTGGTAGTCATCTAGCTGGAAAGGGGAGAGTTACAAAGGTGTCTCGCTGTTTGTTTCCAGCACTAATGGACTTTGGCACAACGCCCTTTTCAAACGTCTGGGCACCGAGGGCTAGGGCCTGCGGGTGTTCTTCCAGACTTCACCTTGCATTATTAAACATTACTCTAATGTAGTGTTTGTGCTTCCAGGGGATTTTTTTTTTTCTGTGAGAAATAGGTAATAGTTTGGTGTCATCCCCATTTTACAAATGAGAACATTTACATATTAAAAAATTGTTGGACTGGGGCCACCAGATGGTATGGTGGTTAAAGTGCTGAACTCCCACATGACCAGTCATGGTTTGAGTCCCAGACCTGATGGTTTAAGACATCACACTGAGCGTGCGTGCATATGTGTCCAAAATCCCAGGAGGAGAATGGAGGGAAGAGGATTGTCATTGCCCCTGGGGGGTGATTTCTCACTTTCTCTCTGACTACTTCTGTTTCTCTCCAGTGAGAACTTGCATCCTAGGGCAAAACCTAAGAAAATAAAATAAAATAAAAAGTCATTGGACTTTGCTGATGCCATGGGTAAGAGTTCAGCAGACTCACCTCAGATCTTCATGTTTCCAAAGCTTCTAGTTTTCACCAAGAACCTCTCGTATTCAAAAGAACTGTTAGCCAGTTAAAGCACTGTACCTGAATATTGCATGAGCTTCTTTCTTAGCACTAGCTCTTAAAGCAAATGTTTATGTCATTCTTTGACACATGCCATTGCAAATTATGGTTTTATTCAAAAGGACATTCTTTTTGGCTTCATTGCAAGGTTATTATTTATTAAATAAATGCTTGGGTTCTCACTGTGATCCCATAGGACCTATGGGGAGTCCTTCTGGAAATATTCATTCAATATTGATTAAATTCTTTATTTTTTCTTAAATTTTGTTTTATTTTAATTTCTTATTTACATTTAATTGTTGTACATCTTTGTGGGGTCAAAGCAAGCATGCAGTGTGGGATTTTTTTGTCTTTTTTATTTCGTACACGCATACAAACAATTGGCAACACCCTAATATTGATTAAATTCTACTGCGCACCAAATATTGTCTGATTCTTCTGGAAGTTAGGCTCTTGGCTTATTTCTTTTTGCATTCTAGTGTCCAACAACGTGGTACCTAGAATATGGTAGGGGTTTAAATATTTTGTTGAGTGAACAAGAAACAGAGACCAGGGTCTTAAGATTTTTCAAGAACCAAAGCAATGCCTATACATGTGGCCCTTTGAGCGGGGAAGCTCATTAGGGTCTCAGCTTAGGTGTTTTTTTTTTTTTTTTTGGAGGTTTTTGCTATAGGGCACGTGCGCTCACCAGACAGAGAGACAGAGAGACAGAAAGCGAGAAATCACCCCCCAGGGAGGATGGTCACGCCATGATCCCTTCTCCTCTCGGAATCTTGGGTATGCATGCACACGCACCCGGCGTGAGTTTTAAGCCACCGGATCCGGGATGCGAACTGCGGTCGACTACATGGGAGTCCAGCGACACAGCCATTACGCTAACTGCTGGTCCCAGCTTAGATATATTTTAAGCTCATTTCTACTATGGAGTTTGGCCACAGAAACTGACTGGCTCACAGCCATTTCTTGTGGCATAAAATGACAGGACGTGTACCAATCATGTAACTGGGTCTCTAATTTAACTCTCTGACGAGTTAAATAACTCTCCAGTGCACAGAGGAGGCGGAGGTGTAATGGTTGTGAAGAGCATAATGCTGAGGCAGGTGCTGAGTCCGGTCTTGATAAGAAGTAAGTACACAGGAGACTAGGAAATGAATCTGCTTGGTACTTACCAAGTGGCCATTTGCAGTTCTGAAACCCGAAGCACGAACTGTTGAGGGATCTTGAAACTAAAGACATGAACTGACTGGATTCCAAGAGAAACTATGGAAGCTATGAATTACTACTGGTGCTGTCAGGGTTGTAACTGACATCCACGAAACCAGCTTTCACCTCACTGTCTTCACACTCGTGGAGAGATGGGAAATATTTACTCTGGAAACCACCTGTTGTACTATTAAATAATCCGCGTATTTGTTAGTGATTTACTTAACCCATGATCCCTCCTGGTCTCTGTGGAGAGCAGCTTTCATCTTGTACATTAGAGTCATTGAAGCCACAAAGGCATGGTTGCCATCCCCATTTGGGGTGCCTTTATGTGTCCTCCTCTGGCCACTAACTTGACCTTGCCTGGTCCAGCCATGAGACAGGAAGTATGCTATTTGATATCTAGTAGGATATGAGAAGCAGGTATAAAAGACCATCCCATGGTTTACTCTGGACTTCTTACTGACACAGGACAGAGAAGGGACTGGAGCTGCCCGGGCAGCCTGCTTTAGAGCAGACTGAATTAACTCTTGAACATTGACTTGATTGGACACAGAAGAGAATACATTCCACAAGCAAAAGATAGAGAAATGGGCACAATGTGGAAAGAGACAAGCAGAGGGTGTTCATGTTGGCCGTGAGGAGATACAGAGACTGCAGAAAGGAGGAACCTACCCCAACCTTCTTGGCTTGGGTTTTTACTTTGCATCTAGACTTTGTATAGTCTTAGGTACGAAAAATGACCTGAAAGCCATCCTCCATAAATGCTAGATGTTATTTCAGCTTAGACCGGAAGGAAAAGAGGTGAAGTGAAAAAGACTTCCTTGGAGGGTTCTGTAATAATCCAGATGCAAGTGTGGGCATCAGAGTGGAATGGAAGGGCAGGTCAGAGAAACGTGTCCTAGGAAGAGGGGCCCAGCAGGTAGTGTGGAGACTAAGGTACTGGATCCTATATGGCCAGCTTTGCAGTTCCAGTTCAAGACCTGGCGACTTGAGAATCAGGCCTGGTGCCTGTGCATGTGCGCCTGGAATCCCAAGAAGAGAAGGGAGGAGGAGGGATTGAGATGTAGCCATTCCCCTGGGGTGGGTGGGGGAGGTTGGTGAGTTTTCATTTTCTCTCTCTTTTTAGTTGATGTGGTCTGTTGTTTCTGGTAAGCATTAATGGCATTATCTGTTGAAGATATTTTGTAGTTTTATCAACTGTGCTAGGGAGAAATGTTTGCCTGTTGAAATATCCATTTTGTAAGCGAAATAATAATGTGATTGAATGTATAAAAGAAAATGAAATGAAATGAAAAAATAAATAAAAAGATAAAATAAAAAATAAAAAAATAACTAAATGAATAAATAAATTAAAAGGAAGACTGAAGGGGGGGTGAATCAAGTTGACATAGTTTTGAAGTACTTGATTATCTTGGAGTAAGCATGTCTCTGGCAGATTGGAATCAGTGACAGAAAGGGAAATTTGTAAGGAAGCCCATCCTCCTGGTCAGGGAGGTGGGAGGTTTCATTGTGAAGTAATAGCAGGGTTTCCAAGTGAAGATGTCCCATGGACATTCACCAAGGAGTTGGCTACTGCCAAAGCCACAGTGATTTCTTCTTTTCTTTTTTCTTTTTTTAAACAAAAACAAACAAAAAAACCAACTTTACTTCTTTTTAAATTTAATTTGACCAGAGAGGGACAGAATGAGAGAAAGAGTGAGAGAGTGAGAAAGCAAGCTACCAGGTCCAGGACTTGAACCACGGTCAGCCATGTGGGAGTCCAGCACCCTTAACCACTATGCCACCTGCCAGCCCCAGCCACAGTGATTTCTACGGACACGGAGATTCCTACTTCTAAGGGCAGAATTTGTTCAAAACTCTTCAGTTATTTGTTTCTGAAAACTGTTTTGTCTTCTTCCTACCTACGAGGTTATTATTCCTAAGATAGAAACTTCTCACATTTAGTGGTAAATCTCTGGCTCTAGATACACAAGTTTGTTAAGCCTCTGTTGTTGATTTTTAGTTGATGTGGTAGTAGTTTGTCAACAATTAAAGCTGAGATGGCTGGCTGTGGAATTCCCGTGGTATTCCGTGCTTGCTTCTACCCAGCTCCTGAACTCCAGGACTACAGCTTCAACTCCATGTCTGATGGCAACATTCCTAGTTGGCACCTCAAGCTCACCTTTGAGCCTGCTAATAGTCCTCTCCCTTACCCTACCTCAGTTTTCTCCTTGGTCTTCTCCCTTTGTCAGTCTGGAGCTCCCCTCTCTCAACTAGATTCCTGCTATTGCCCCTTCCTTCCTCCCTCCCTCCCTTCCTTCCTTCCTCTTTTTCTTTCTTTCTTTTTTGGAGAGGTTTTTGCTATAGGGCGCGTGCGCTCGCCAGAAAGATAGATAGAGAGAGAGAGAGAGAGAGAAAGCAAGAAATCACTCCCAGGGGGGATGGCCACACCGCAATCCCTTCTCCTCAATTCTCCTCTCGGGATCTTGGGCATGCACGCACATGTGCCTGGAGTGAGTTTAAGCCACTGGGTTCAGGACTTGAACCGCGGTCAGCTACATGGGAGTCCAGTGACATAGCCCTTACGCTAACTGCTGGTCCCACTATCACCCCTTTCTGGTATCCCTGCTTTCGGACTTTGCTCACTCTAAAATTTCCACACACTATCAGTTGCCTTTTAGAAACCCAGATCAACTCATGTCACTCCTTCTAGTTTTTAGTTATGGGCTGGATTAAACCTGAAGCACATAGATGACCAACAAGGTTGTTGGCAACATGAGACAGACCCACCTCTCAACTCACATCATAGGCTCAGCACTGTATTTCCCCATATTCACTTAGCAGATCCCCCTCTGTGAGCTGCTCAGCCTTCAGGTCTTAGTTCAAGGGGACTCCTTCTAGAGTAGCCCATCAGCTCCACCACAGGGCGTTATTATGTATCTTGGTTGTGGCCTTTCTACTTGTTAGGGTGGGAGCCCTTGGAAGGCATTAGCTGTGGCTATGCCTCCTCTCACACTCTCCCTCCCCTGGCAGTCAGTTTTTCTTTTTTCCAAATGCTTTTGGTGCTGGGATTTGAACCACCATTGGTCATATGGCATCTGAGTCCCCATGGACTATGGGCTGGCCCATCTTTAGTTTTTAATGTTTTAAATTACCTAGACTCATGGTTGGAAAGGCTTCAGAGAAACTATTAATTTAGTTTTTTGTTTTCTGTTTTTTGGGGTTTTTTTTTGCTATAGGGCATGTGCACTTGCCAGACACAGAGAGACAGACAGAGAAAAGTGGGAAATCCCCCCCCCCCCGGGGGGATGACCACACTGCAATCCCTTCTCCGTTCTCCTCTCAGGATCTTGGGCATGCACGCACACGCGCCCGGCGTGAGTTTTAAGCCAACAGGTCCAGGACGCAAACCGCAGTTGACTACATGGGAGTCCAGCGACATAGCCATTACACTAACTGCTGGTCCCGAAACTATTAGTTTAGTAAAAAATATTTTTTGTGGTGTGAGTGTGGGCACATGTGTGCATGTATGCGTGCAGTGTTCTAGACAGTCTTGCTGTACTGTGGTCTACCTGCCACAGCCTCCTCAATAGGTAGTGCTACAGGTATGAAACACCCCCACCCACATTTAGCAGAATTCATTGATCCTGTATTATTCTCACTCGTGTTCATATATTGCTGGTTGTTATATACAACTGCTACAGTTTTTAGGGAGGAGTTTGGCCACTTGTAGCCTTAAAAATGTTAGCAGCAAGGCCAGCAGGTGGCATGGTGTTCGAGGTACTGGACTCCCACATGATTGACCATGGTTCAAGTCTTGGACCTGATGGTTTTAAAATTGCACCAGGCACGTGTACATGTGTGCCCAAATCCTAAGAGCGGAATGGAGGAGAAGGGATTCGGGCATGGCCATCCTCCCGATCAGGGCACAATTTCTCTTTAAAACTCTTTGTCTTTCTCTGTCTCCCTCTAGAGAGCACACACATTCTATGGCAAAAAACTAAAAACAAAACAAAACTTAAATGCTTAGTCTCAATAATAGCAAAAAGTATTATGCATAGAGATGTTCGTTATGTTCTTCATGATGGCACTCTTTATTGGGATGTCCAGTGGCAGGGAGGTAATTAAATTTGACATGTCCGAGGAATCTAACAATCACTCTCTAAATGTGCACGACATGAGATGTTTATGTTAAGTAGAAAACAGTGGAATCCCACACTGCCAGGTGATATGACATGAATATATCAGAAGTGTGTAGGAAAGAACCGTCAAGAGGTTGTCTCGGGGATGTTTGAATGCTTTCCTACTTTCCGTGATGTTTTAGTTGCCTTAAAATGATTCATTTACCGCTAGCACCAACGCTAAGAACAACCTTCACAAAACCAGCTAACTAGATATCCCCCCATTGCTTAGGGTTCTGCGTCTCTAAACTAGTCTCTGCTTCCCCCGCAGTTTGAAAACCTGAACACAGTGGCCGAGTGTCTGTTTTCTCTGGTCAACGGTGATGACATGTTTGCCACCTTTGCCCAGATCCAGCAGAAGAGCAAGGCTGTTCAGTCGTCTGTATTTGTATTCCTTCATCGGCCTTTTTATATATATGATCCTCAGCCTTTTCATTGCACTTATTACTGATTCTTATGACACCATTAAGGTGAGTACCCATCTTTGCTGCCAAAAGACAACTGCAAATTCTCTATAGATTAGAAGGAAGGAAAAGACTGCATTTTTTTTTAACTTAAGATGTTATCATTTTATTTAGATTTTGAGATTTTTTTGTGTGTGTATAAAAGAAACCGCTTAGATGCTGGAGATTGAGTTTAAATGTGTACTGAGGACATTGTCCTTGTAGCCCAGACCGGGGGATTGGTTTGGAGATGTGATGGCAAAGAGAGGAAATGCTAAGAATGGGCTCAAGGCCAGCAAGTGGCATAGTGGTTAAGGCGCTGGACTCCCACACGGCCGACTGCAGTTTGAGTCCCAGGTTGGGTGGCTTGAAAGTCACACTGGGTACATGAGCATGCGTGCCCAAAGTCCTAGGAAGAGAATGGAGGAGATAAGATTTGAGTACAGCTACCCTGCCCTTCACCCCTGCCCTGGGGGGTGATTTTTCACTTTCTCTCTCACTGTCTCTCTCTCCGTCTCTCTCTGGCAAGTTCACACACCCTATGGCAGAACCCTAAACAACAAAAGACTAAAACAACAAAAAAAAACCCACTGGGCCAAGCATGGTGCTCTCAGCACTGACAGACGTGCTTGCCGGTGCAGCTGCCTGGAACTTAGGTTGGGGCAGTTCATTGCAGTGAGTAGAGGTGACTGCACTGTAGCAGCCAGCCAGGTATTGCCCCCCTTAGACTGGCTGGCCCGGCCTCTAGCATGGTGCAGGTTTCCTCTAACATAGGAAGGCTAAGGCTTTAGAGGCTGTTTAACGTCCTACTTTCCTAAGCCACCCGATGGGCTCTGTATTCTTCTCAGACTGGGCCCACTTTACCGACTGGTAGACCAGGCAGAATCGGAGCGAGCAGCGGCCAGGCCAGTGCCTGGGGTGCTGTCCTCTACATAACCCCTGTTGGACTAACTTAGAAGAAGAGCAGTCCCTTAGGGAAGCTGCTGAGCATAGATCATGTGTGGGGAGGTTAGGGAGAGGGAAAAGGGGGCTCAGCTCAGCAGCAGGCTGAACATGGACAAGCAGAAGTGGCACACCCTGCCCTGCAGGCCATGTCTTATGTAGCAGTGTCCCCACGTGGTCTAAGCCTTGCTGTTGAGGTAGATGACCATGCTACACCTGAAGGGAGAAGGCCTCAGGTTTCTGAGTCTGTCTGGGAAAAATCTACGCCATCTGTCCCACGAAGTGTCTGACTTCCATGAAGGTGGAGGAAACAGTGAGGACTTTCTAGGCAGACTCTCCTTTGGCAGTCTGTGGAGTGGGAGGTCTTCTCTGATCTTGCAGTTAGCGTTGGACTTTCACTGTTTTCTTCATTCCCCTTTTTTCTTTTTCTTTTTTTGGGAGAGGTTTTCACTATAGGGCGCGTGCGCTCGCCAGACAGACAGAGAGAGACAGAGAGACAGAAAACGAGAAATCACTCCCCAGGGGGGATGGCCACGCCACAATCCCTTCTCCTCCATTCTCCTCTCGGGATCTTGGGCACGCACGCACACGCGCCCAGCGTGAGTTTAAGCCACCGGGTCCGGGACGCAAACTGTGGTCGACAACGTGGAGTCCAGTGACATAGCCATTACGCTAACTGCTGGTCCCTCTTTTTCTTTTTTTTTAAAGACAGATTTTTTATATAGGGCATGTGCGCTTGCCAAAGAGACAGAAAACAAGAACTCTCCACCCAGGAGTGGCCAGGCCGCGATCCCCTCTCCTCCAACCTCCTCTCGGGTTCTTGGGTATGCACACATATGCACTTGGCGTGAGTTTCAAGTCACTGGGTCCAGGACTCAAACCACAATCGACTACATGGGAGTCCAGCAGCATAACCATTATGCCATCTGCTGATCCCTTTACTCCCACTCTGACTTTCTTTCTGGAGTTTTCCTTTTGGATTGTTTACTTTCCCATGGTGGCCCTGGTTTGGCATTCTGGGACTGACAGTGATTTATCATCATTGTGGATATCGGTTCTTGGATCTGAGTTAGTAGTGTGGGAGTTTTATTTTAGCAAAGGTGGATTTGGTTTGTTGACCAAGGGACCAATTTCTCATGCTCTATAAATAAGGTAACAACATTGTGTACATTTTAAAGAAATACCAGCAGAATGGATTTCCTGAAACGGATCTGCAAGAGTTCCTGAAGGAATGTAGTAGCAAAGAGGAGTGTGAGAAAGAGCCCCCAGCCTTCCTGTCCCACGTCTGCTGCCTGAGGAGGTCAGTACTGGTTAGCCTCCATGTTCCTGAACTGGGCCATTGTGCGGCCTTCAGAAGCAGTCCTTCCAGGGCTGGCCCCATGGTCTGGTGGCTAAGGGAGCCGGATCCCACATAGCCAACTGCGCAGTTCAAATTCCAGTGCCTGCAGCTTGAAAAACACATCAGGCACGTGTGCACACGTGTCCTAATCTCAACAGAATGGTGAAATGGAGAAGGGATGGTGACTAGATCATGCCTTATTGGTGGGTTCTCTCTATCTCTGTCTCTGTCTCTCTTTCTGTCTCCCTCCCTCTCTCCCTTTCTGGCAGTGCATGTAGCCTCTGGCAATTAAAAAAAAAAAAAAGTCCTTCCAAGATTCACACTATACTCAGAAATGAGCATATTGCAGGAAATAATTTGTCTTTTTTTTTTCTTGCTTTCCACTGAAATTGGCTTTAGAAATGAAATGAATCATTCATGCTAGGCACATGCACAGTGCCCAGGTTCACCAGACCCCGTGGAGGAGGCTCCTCTTTCTCTCCCCCACCCTCGCACATGCGTGTGCTCTATCATGAGTGAGTGTATGTGTGTGTCTGTATACACACCTATTTAAAAAGAGCAAAACGAATAATTTATTACAGAGCAGGGTCATGTGCTGATTGAAATCTCTTGGAAATATTATGAGACTGAGACTGTTGTTCTGAGAAGATCTGAATTATGTCTTTAAAGTCAAGAGGCTGAACTCCTAAGTAGCCAAAGAGGTCAGAGCTGTCATTGTCAGAGATGGAGCTAAGGGAATGCCCGGCATTTTCCGTTCCCATGGTACATGGGGCACATAGCGTTTCTTGAGCAGAGCAGGAAACTCGCGTGAGCGGAGGCTGTCCACAGCCTCGTTGGGAAGGTGCGTCAGAAGCTCTTCACTGACTGGGGACACGGGAGCTCTCAGCGGGCAAAGCGTGCCACACAGTGGCTTGGGGACTAAAACAGGGGTCAGACGAGGGAAGTCTTGACTGTGCCCATGGTCGCTTCCATCTGAAGATGGGGTGCAGGGGCTTTAACTCAGAGTGTACTCTCCCCACGCTTCATTTTGCTTTGTTTTGTTCTCTCTCTTTTTTTTTTTTTTAAAGGATTCTCAAAACCAAATTCTCATAGGAAATGCTGGGAGAACACAATTGCTACTTAAAATCCCAGGATGCATTTTTCTGTTAATCAATTCATGCTGCATCTTGGGAATTAAAATGACATGATTGAGCATATCCAAAAAAGGGCTGGTAAGTATAAGAAGGCTCGGGTCTTCTGAGGAGAGTTCACGTTTTCAAAATCAAGTTTGGTCTTCTCAGAACATTCCATTACTGCTGTCAAAGTTGGGATACAGGGAAATTAATTTTATCAGGCAGCTGCTTTTCTTTAAGCTCTCCCCTTTAGAAGTAAAGCTTCTCAGAGTTGCTCTTCTATTATATAGAACTGTAAGGGGGGAATCAACAAAGAACATAGCTGTAAAATCTATTTTTAATTTTTAATATAATTTAATTTATTATTATTTTAAAATGTAGTATAGGGTATATGTGCTCACCAGAGAAAGACAGAGAGGAGGAAGAGAAAGAGAGAGGAAGTGAGAAAGTAAGCCACCAAATCTGGGACTTGAACCGTGGTTGGTTACATGGGAGTCCAGCAACTTAACCACCACGCCACCTGCTGGCCTGAGTTGTGAATTCTGAAAAGTAACAGAGAGTCTTTTGTATTTGCTCTGTGGACCTCTGTCTATACCACAGAAAGCCTGAGGAGGTCGCCCAACGTCTCCTTGCACAGCCACGTGAAGGAGTGGGTGATCATGGGGTAGATGGGAGGGGGATGGTACCATCAGGTCCGAGAGGTGAGGGCAAGAGAGCATCGTCAGCTCGGCTTTCTCCCAGCTGTGCTGAGTGAGAGGTCGCGTGGGACGGGAACAAGAGGGCCCACCAAGGAAATCGGCTGAAGAACTAGGGTGACAAAAGTTTTGAAAAAAGAATTAAAAAAATAAAAAGCAGAAGTGGCAGTTACCATGTTTGGCCCGAAGATGGTCATGGATGAAGTCAGCCGGGACGGAAGCGTTATCAAACCAAAGCCAGATTTCCAGGCGGTTGGGATGGACCTGCAGGGAGTCAATGAAAGCTGCAGGGCCTGGTGGCAGGACACGGACATAATGGGCCCTTGAGATGGCTTTGGCGCCGTCAAAATTAAGTGACCTTGATGTGTTTAAAGGCTGGGAACAGAAGAATGGCATAAAGTTGAGGAAGGCTGTGATGGAGAGTAAATGTTGGAGAAGGACCTCGCTGAGGGTCTGTGCTCCTTGCCTGGTGACTGACATGCAGCACCTGTCTGTCGCAGCCCTGCCTCCCACAGAGCATGGACACAAGTGTGCTTTTTTTTTTTTTTTGAGAGGTTTTTACTATAGGGTGTGTACGCTTGCCAGAAAGACACAGAGAGACAAAGGACAGAGAGACAGAGACAGAAGGCAAGAAATCACCCCCCAGGGGGGATGGCCATTCTCCTCCATTCCCCTCTTGGGTCTTGGACACGCACTCACACACGCCCGGCATGAGTTTAAGCCACCAGGTCTGGGACTCAAACCACGGTCAACTACATGGGAGTCCAGCGACATAGCCATTACGCAACTGCTGGTCCCCACAAATGCTCTTTTTTAGCTAAGCAGCCGGCAACCAGCAAACATTGATCCTGTCATCAGGATACCTGGGTTGTTCCAGACCTGCCGTTAACCAAATATGTCCCACGACCTGTCCTAAATGTCTGGGTTTCTGCAATGTCATCAAAGAGGGCCAGGTGACCTTGGAAACCTCTTCCAGTTCTAAAGTGGTGTGGTTTGGGGGAAAGAGATGCTCGTTTTAACAGATACAGATGTGACCTTTTCCTGTCTCGACTTTAGTGAAGGAGGAAAGTTGACTGTTGTAGACATTCATCAGGCTTTGTCGGAGAAGGGGTGCCAAGTGTCCCAAGAGGTGGGCAGCTCCTCACAGTTCGTTTCCGAAAACAGCAGTTCAAACCTCAACTAATATAAATCGCCGTCTCGGTGTTTCTTCCTCTTACACGTTCTACTCAGCACGTCTGTAACCTAGACAGGGCTAGAACATAGAGTAATTCTACTTTTTCCTCAAAGATGTGTGAGTCATTGCTCTTTTCCCCCCCCTCCCCTCCCCTTTCTGTTACAGGAAAGGAAGTGATGACCACTTGATACTTATTCACTGAAGCTTTCTGCTGAAGGCAATTACGGCCCAGACCTCTGTACTCAGTGGCAACGCAGAGAGACCCTGAACTCTTGGACCAACTGTTCCAAAATGATTCTCTTGTTTCATTGTGGAGCAGGAAAGAGGATGCTTGCCAGCCGGCTGACCACAACCAAGTGCCAAGTTGTTTTTTATAAACCCGTATGAAGAATAAACCAGAGCTACTACCAAGCATTTTTGCAACCGAGCAGGATTCTGAAATTCTCTGTTAGTGTTAATTTATGACTCAGGATAGGGAAAAATGACTTCAGAGTACACAGTGGTGTTTCAAGTCGTGCATTTCAGGACATGTGTCTTTTATCAAATAGGGGTTGGTTTTAAAAGTGATTCTTGGATGAGAAGACATTTGTCAGTTCGTGGTTCACAGAGAAGTGAAGTTGGTTGCAATACCCAATTAGAGATTCAAGCTGGAAAATTATTAAACTGTTTAAAGATTATGCTTGAATCAACAGAAAGATCTCTTGCGGTGGCATTGCTTGGCCTCTTTTTTGGTGGGCTTTCTTTGTCAGCATGATATGGAGTGACTATTGGCATAGTCCGTAGAATGGGTAGAAACCTGTCACTGGGGTACTTGTGCTAATTGTTGGCTGTGCACACAGGACGTGCCAAAATAAACTAGCGGTGGTCACTTGAACAACGGAACTCCACTGTGGAAGAGGGTTAGCCTTGTCAAGCAAGGAAATATGGTATTTCCCCCCAAAATAAATATATTTTATTATCCTATGTGGTACTGCTGCTGCTTTTTACGGTATCTCTTAACATCTACCTAGTAAAAAAGTCGGATCGCATCTCTGTTAACTCCCTGGTCTGCAAAAGGGATTTCTCACTTGCTTAAAAGTAGTGAGGGAGATAGAGAGGCTACTGTATAGAATTTATTCAAGATATATCTATGGCAATGACTTGAGAGATTAAGATTGCTTCATGAATAGGTTTGAGCTGACTCAGGGGTCAATGATTTTAAATGTACTGGTAAAGAGTAGAACATAACTTAAGCAGAATCCCTGTGCCAAGGCTCCCCCTCTTAATCCTTGGCCTCAGCCATGCCCTCCTCACCCCCCACACCTGAGTTTCCTCCTCTCATCCCACTGCCCCTTCCTTACCTGCCTTAAATCTGCAAGGAAAATCATCCAGTGAACACCATTAAAGCTTGTAAAAGAGTAAATGACTTCTCTTTATACACAGAATACACTGATAAAAATAATGATTTTTGCTTACTTCCTTTTTTTAATAAAAGAAAAAAAAAGTTGAGTTATGTTCGATTTTTCAAACTAAGGACCCTGTGGTTCTGAGGTCATATGCCTGACTCCAGAATCAGGTATGGGATTAGAGCACTTTGGAACTCCTGAGGGGATGAACTTAGTTTTGTCTGTGGACAAACAGAATTGCCATTCAAGCCTTCTTCTGCTGCAACTCCGAGCGCCGTTTGAATAGAAGATTGATGGTGAGTTTGCACACTCGTGTTATTCTTCACTGGCTTTCGTGTTTCCTTTTATTTCTTTTCCCTCCAGCTTGACAAAGCACTTTCAGGAAGAAAAATCTTTTCCAAGGTTACCCTGCCTCTGTGGAAACATTGTTAATCATTCTTAATCATTTTAAACAATTGTCACTTTACCAACTGTATTATCTGCTTGGGTTTCATTGAACAATGTTGTCTCATAACTCTGCTAATAGACACGTCTGGGACAAATCATTTTCTTTCCTACCCAAGGCCTCTATGTGGAGAGTTCACTAGGAAACTTAGCAGACATGTTCTTTCTGCCTACCAGTTTTATTCTGGAATCTCCTGCCTTTGTAGATTTTTTCCCCCTGGATTGTGATGACACCTTCAAAGTCAGCTGTTACATTCTTCAGTTTGTTGACTTGGGATGGTAGAGAGTGTGGGCATGGGACCCATCTAGATGGTTGTAAATTGAGTGAAAATTCCAGCTGAAGCTGTAGCTTTGAGGGCCTGGGCATCACTTTCTGCATGGAAGAGTTTATGATAAATCTTAACAAATTGAGGCTGGCATTTCAGGCACAAGATTTATGCAAATCTTGGATTAAAACTGGAGCCATTCTTTCCCTTGATTCTTTGCCATCGTTGTAAGTAGGTTCCCTGGGACCTGGCTCAGTGTGCACTTTAAAAGCTATGCTTCCGTAACCTGTCTGCGTGGGCTCCTCTCCTCTTCCTATTCGAGTCTCCTGGGATGGGTCACAGTGTGCCTCGGTTTTCTTATCTATAAAATGGAGATTGTAAGGATTAAATGAGTCAAATATAAAGTGGGTAGAACAGGGCATGGCTTCTAAGTGCTCAGTGACTATTAATGATTCCAGAAAGTGCTTTGTTTGCATGGTCTATGAATGCACAAATCTATGCACCTGCGCCAGCCAGAAAGACCTTTATTTTGCAAGGAGTTCACCAGAAGCTTACAGGTAGACTGTATTCCGGTGAGGACTTTAAGTGTGCAAAAGTGTATCATCCAGCCCTGTTGCCAGAGGATTCAACCTAAGGGGCTCATACTGAACTGTGGAGCCTTGCTGGTAGGGCATAGCTGTCAGACCTGATGGAAGGGCAAAGGTCCTAGAGATGCCCTTTGTGACAACAAAACCCCCCTAACCATCATTCTGGGCAGGCCTCAATTCTCTATCGGGCGCCTGCTGTCTTCATCAGACTTGTTAGAATGTGTGAAACACAGGTAGCTTGCTCCTCAGCTCATTGCTAATCCAAGGAGGCAAATGATAAAGGAGAAGAGGAAAAGCTCTTCATGGGTTCCAGTCCCTGCCTCACAGCCTGCTGTGGGTCTGTACTATAACAATGGCCAGTGGAAGGCCAAGCTTGGAGTCTCAGGTGTACAAAAACACTTTGGCCTAGCCTTTTGATCTAGGGGTACTTCAGTCTTAGTGCCTGAAGATTTTCATATAAAAATAGCCCGGCACTGCCATTAATATTCAGATGGCCCTGAAGTAACTGGGGAAATACGTTCAATGAACTCCTACTGTCATCTTGGCCATAGAGCTGTTTCCTGACATTATAAAGGACTACGACACGACATTTGAAGATATAATTCCAGACAGGGCCAGCAGGTGGCATGGTGGATAAAGGCACTGGGTTACCACATGGCCGTCTGGGGTTCGAGTCCTGGATCTGATGGCTTGCTTTCTCACTTTCCTTTTCTCTCTTTTTCTCTCTCTATCTCTGGTCAAATTAAAAATAATAGCAATAATAACAAATGGAATTAAATAAGTAGATATTTTTTCAAAAATATGTGATTCTAGATATCTGAACCATTTGTGAGCAGAACTGGTGACAGTCACCTAGCACAGTAACGTTGGATGTACAAACCTCATTTTATTGCAAATCAGTTCTAGCTTCATGTAACTTGGACATATTTTATTTTGATACATCTGATTTGAAGTTTCAAAATCTCCACTATGGGGAACCAGCAGTTAGCGTAATGGCTATGTCGCTGGACTCCCACGTGGGCGACCGCGGTTCGTGTCCCGGACCCGGTGGCTTAAAACTCACGCCGGGCGTGTGTGCGTGCGTGCCCAAGATCCCGAGAGGAGAATGGAGGAGAAGGGATTGCGGCGTGACCATCCCCCCTGGGGGGTGATTTCTTGCTTTCTGTCTCTATGTCTCTCTCTGTGTGTCTGGCGAGCGCACGCGCCCTACAGTGAAAATCTCTCTCAAAAAAAAAAATCTCCACTATGTACTCCAATGATGCTGAGTCTTCCCCTACCAAATATTTAGACTCTCACACTGTTAGTGTAAGCATGTATGAAATATGGAGGAGCATCCAAAAATCTATAGAAAAATGGAATTGAAGTCGGAGTTAATTTTGGCACAAAACATTTTTTTGCAATCCACACATAGTCTTTTCATAATAAACAGTTTTCAGGAACTTCCCGAGGACCCTGTGTAGCTTCTCACGTGACAGGGTGGTGAGGACCTCACAAACTAAACTCGAAGCCCAACATTCTGATCGTATGTGTTGTAACAAGGATTGTCATGGAAACGGGAGCAAGTGCTGGAAACCTCTGCTTTCCCTCTTTCTACCTGAGATAGTCCAGGCTCTCAATGTTGCTAATCCTCAGGGTTGGCATTGTAGCTGTGTGACCTGCGTGTTCGCACTTGGCTGAGAGATCTGCTGTCCCAGTTGTGAATGTCTCTGCAGTTTTTGAACCAGGGGCCCCCTTTTTGTTTGTCAGTGGACCCCACAAGTGACTTAGCTAATCTCAATGGGATGACTGTATAGAGCATGGCCTTTTATGAAAAGGCTAGAAATCTAGCAATGCACTTTTTAATGTAATAAATCTAGTAAAAGGTAAATCTTGCCATTGTTTTTCTTAATGGAATTTATTTTCTACATAAGTTTTAGGTTGACAGCAACGTAGAGAGGAAGGTCCAGAGGTCTCCCATATCCTGCCTGCCCCTCCTGTGCACAGCCTCCCCCTGACCGGTATCCCACACCACGAGGTACGTGTGCTCCATCAGCTGGTGAACCTACTTTGCCACATCGTTACCCCCAACTCCATGGTTTACATTAGCGTCTACTCGGCGTTGTACACTCAGGGTTCGAAAAAGACGGGACTGCCTGTATCGAACCTAGAACCTGTACTAATCTAGTTTCACACGAATGGCTTCACGGCCCTAAAATCCCTTTGCCTCGTCATTCCCCCGACTCCTACCCCATTCCTGGCAACCACTCGTCTTTCTACCGTCTCTCTCCAGAACACGCATCGCAGACTTGGCGTTCTACAGTCTGTTGCCTTTTCCAGAATGGCGCCTTTCACTTAGTAATTTGCCCTAGGGTTCCTAGGGATCCCCTAGGATGATGTCTTTTCATGGAGTTTCTTATTTTTTATTTTTAATATTTTGGTTTTTGCTTGCTTGCTTATATTTTTTAAAGTTTTCTTTTTCTAACGTGAATGTGAGACTGAGAGATATGTGGGTCTTGCTTTTGAGCGCACTTTTTTTCTCTGTTCTTGCAAAGTGGCTACGGAGCTATTTCCCGTTTCCCAGAGATGGAGATTCAAGCTCCGCAGCTGGCGACCTCGACCAGTGTTTGCACAGTCTACTTGCCTCCTGCGCGCACTTCATCAACGAAGAGCCCCACCTTCAGGCTTTCGATGCAATGATTTGGTCTTGGCAAGGAATCCATGCAAAGTGGTTCAACTCCCTAACTCAGCGGGTTTGCCCAATTGCAAAATGACCTCAGAAGTTGCATGCTGAAGTCCTTTGGGACCTGCCCCGTGCAGTGGACATCCAAGTATGAAGGGACTTCAAAAGGATCATGAGGAAAAAGAAATTAAATTATGAGTTTGTTTTGGTTAAAAAAAAAAATTGGGGGCTAGCAGGTGGCGTGGTAGTTAAGGCAGCTGGATTCCCATATGCCCAACTTGGAGTTCTGGACCTGGAGGCTTGCTTTCTAACTCCCTTTCTCTCTCCCTCTCTGGTCAAATTAAAATAAATAAATAAAGTTAAATAAAATAATTCTAAAAATTTCTTTTGAAATCTTTGGATAGATTTTTCACAGTTTATGTTTTCCACGAGCTATTCAAAGGCCCAGGTATCCCTTTGAAATCACTTGCTTTCCATATGAAGGGCCTAGCTGTGCACAGAAACCTGGAGGATTGTTAAACAAGCTTGTCCCCGTAGAACAGTGCATTAGGTCCGGGAAGACTGGCAGTTAAACCGAATCTCAAAACAGACACCCAAGTTATTAGAAAACCAAGGCGACTCACAGCTGTTCTCTGAGGGGCTTGTCACAGATGCTGCTGTAAACCAGTGGGCACAGACGATGGCAAATGTCTCTGTTGCCATCTGGCTCGGCCAGAGAACCCGGGAGTGAACAAGAAGCTGCCTGAGTTACAAACGAACACTTCCCCACCACCTTCCCAGCAAGGACAGCGGAACTGACTTCTTAAAGACCCCTGGGAGCTATTGGCTGTGGTGAATGGGGGAGACGATTTATTAGTGTGATGTATGCTTCTTACTTTCTAATGATACATAAATTATCCCATGAGCCATGATACATATGGTTTAAAGAGAATTTTAAATGAAAGCAATTTTTTTTCTAGCAACACTAATTGCCCAGCAGTGGTAAATTGCGTATCCCCTGCTGTCTGTGGGCTGTGGTCATTACTCTCTCCTCGAGGTTGGGCAGATGTCCCCCAAGAGGAATGTTTGCTCTGACAAAGGGAATTTACATCCTTGCGTGGGCCTGCCATGCTAGGGCTCCACGGAGAGGGTGTTAACCTAGCACGGTGTCGTGCCATTCCTTGTGTGTTATCTATGCTGATGGGACCGGGCCTTGGGCCTGAGTTCTTGATTTGCCTTTGTGGGGAAGGCAGAAGGCTGCTAGTCATATTTAATCTTTTTTTTTATTCTTTTTTTTTTTTTTTTTTTTTTTTTTTTTTTTTTTTTTAAAAGAATTACTTTAGGACCAGCCGGTGGCATGGTGGCTAACATGCTGGACACTCCCACATGGTTGACCATGGTTCGAGTCCTGGACTTGGTGACTTGATTTTTCACTTTCTCTCTCTCTCTGGTCAAATTAAAATAAATGATATTTGATAAAATTAAATAAATAATTATTTTTTAAAAAGATAAAAAGAATTACTTTATTATTACTTTATTGAACTTTTTATTTATTTATTTATTTTTATTTGGCCAGAGAGAGACAAAGTGTGAGTGAAAGGGGGAGAGAGAAAGAGAGAAAGAGAGAAGAGGGAGAGTGAGAAAGCAACCGCCAGGTCCAGGAATTGTAGCATGGTTGGCCATGTGGGAGTCCAGCACCCTTAACCACCACACCACCTGCCAGCCCTGTCATATTTAATCTTCATGGGGCATGTGTGGAGGGGCATAAAAGATAGACTTAAGTAGGGACCAGTAAATGGCATAGTGGATATGTCACTGGACTCCCATGTAGTTGACCATGGTTTGAGTCCCAGACCTGGTGGCTTCAACTCACACTGGGTTCGCATGCATGTGTGCCCAAGATTCCGAGAGGAGAATGGCAGAGAAGGGATTGTGGCGTGGCCATCCCTCCTGGGGGGTGGTTTCTCACTTTCCATGTCTCTGTCTCTCTCTGTCTCTCCGGCTAGCACATGCACCCTATAGCAAAAAAAAAAAAAAAAAAAAAAAAAAAAAAAAAAGAAAAGAAAAGACTTAGGTAATAAACATGGGCATTCCCTAGGTGACAAGTTGAACACAGGAAGTGAGAAGCACCACCCATGTGGGGAAGCACTGCATAACTGCGTGATGTGTAGAAGGAAGATGATGATGCTAATCGTTAATCGAATACTTATTTGTTGGTTTCCAGTTCTATGCTAGGAATTAAGGACTCAAGGAATGAATGGCAATGAATTTCTGCCTTCAGGAAGTTTGGTCAGAGACAGCTTTGGTGAGAGCGACAGCCACGTAAAATGCAAGGATGATACCAAGTGAGCCCGCGTTCTGCAGGCTGCCTGTGCTAGCTCCCGGCTCCCCGAGTACAGGCCTCTGTGCTTTATAGTAGCTGTGTATTTGTACTGTATACCATATGGGAGACTACGCAGTGCTTCGAGCGGACGTGAAGGATACGTTGCATGTGGCCAGGCGACCATGGTGCAGGGCCGGGGAGGGCTTTCTGAATAAAGGGAACAAAGGCTTGACTCTCTCAGAGGAAATCTGGTTGGGGCAGGGGTGTACAGAAGACAGGTCTATATTAGGGAAGTGATAGACAGGACTGCGGAAGTGACAGGGCAAGGCCACAAGGACTGCATATGCCAGGAGAGGGCTTCAGAGCTGAGAGCTACAGGACCAGAAGAGACAGAGCCCTGGAGGATGGCCAGGGATAACAGGAGATAAGCAGGGAAATTAGTTACAAAGTGGCTGCAATCATCCAGAAAGAGAGAGCTCATTATTCTGTAATCCAGCAAAATAACAAACACAGTGAGAAACCTGCCTGAAAAATAGTCTCTAAGGGATACATAGGATTGCATCTACACGAGGGGACTTCAAGAAGTTCAGGGAAAATGGGATTAAAGTGCAAATTAATTTTGGTGCAAAAAGTTGAAATATAGATTTTTTTCATAATAGTATTTTCTATGACCTTTTTAAAGACCCTCCCCTCATGTATTTTAACTATTTATGTATATTTTCTGCTAAATACTCAGTCATTTTTTTTTTTTTGAGGGTTCATGGTTTCAGAGAAGACAGTCTGCTTTCATAACTTCTGTGACTGAGAAGAGTATTTATTAGGGCCAATGGGCTGAATGTGTATTCCTCTCTCAAGGATATTTCTCCTTCCTCCAGGTTTAGGAAAAGCTTCCTAAAGCCTTCCTGCCCCGGCATCTTTTCCCACTCCCATGTTCTCTGAGCTGCCCTGACCGTGGCCAGCGGCCGTTTCGTCTGTAAGGTGTGACTACTGCGGAAGCCCGCCGGAAGCGCAGTACGAAGCCCACAGACTGCACTGAGACTGTACGAAGACTCCATCCACCCCGGCTCCACACCGTGGCCCCCATCAGAGTCTGGGAGTGTGGTCGCGCAGGTTTAGAACTGAGTGTGACTGCGTGGGTCAGCAGGGCGTGGAGAGTAAATGGCGGGAGGGGCTCAGGCAGGGTGTGTGGGCGTGGGGTGGGGGGCTGAAGGTGAGGAGAAAGGTAAGCTGAGCTGACTGCGGGACTCTGAGAAAGGCCGGTGTAGTGTGCACCCCATGACTGTCTTGATTTGGGAGGTGGCAGTGAACAGTCATGTTACAGGGTGTTTCTGAGCCAAGGCAGCCTGAGACGGGCACGGGGCAGGGGCAGTGACGAGAAGGCGGAGCGGTACCAGTGTTCGCCTGTACATGGTGCTGATCTGAGTCCTTCTGTCCAGGGCCCTGCAGAGGCTGTCAGCGGTGTGTGCTGAGACCAACCCCAGGGACACCTCCTTCCAAACTCTACCAGCCTCTGATAAATGCACCCCATGAAGACTAGAGCAGGTAACTCCAAACACTTCCTTATGAGTGGAGCATGTTGGATTGAGGCCAGAAAAAACCCTGGTTGTGGGGAGGTCCTCATCTCCCCAGGGAAGGGATATGGGGATCCAGGCTGGGTGTGGGTAGTGAGAGAGAACTCCTGCAGCCCTGCAGGTCGAGCACAGAGCAGGGGAGGCACGTTCAGCCTCTGGCGGGGGACAGCGGGCAGTGTACTCAGGTGTTCCACACCTCCACGGTGACCCTGAATGACCAGCGAGATGACACAGGAACCATCATTGTCCACGATCATTCCTGGACAGTAAGACCCACCAGTTCCAGTTCCATCCTTGAGGAAAATGTCTCCACTAACATGGAGACTGCTTCCATGTCTTTTCTCTTGAAAGTCAAGTTCCTGGAAGTTTTGTTTGTGTTTTGGTTTTTTTGGAGAGGTGTTTGCTATAGGGAACGCACGATCACCAGAAAGACAAAGAGAGACAGAGACAGAAAGCGAGAAATCAGCCCCTAGGGGGGACGGCCACACTGCAATCCCTTCTCCTCCATTCTCCTCTCAGGATCTTGGGCACGTACGCACATGCGCCCGGCGTGAGATTAAGCCACTGGCTCTGGGACTAGAACCACGGTCATCTACATGAGAGTTCAGCGACATAGCCATTACACCAACTGCTGGTCCTATCCTGGAATAGCTTTTAAGGAACCACAGTTATGAACAGAGGAAGGGACGGGCGGATCAGTGACGATTCTTCAGCTAGATTTTTATCTCCCTTGCTTAAATGGCTCCACAGTCCCTGTAGAAAAGATGAGCACAAGGGGAAGAGATAACAGGCAGATGAGTGACTTTTGGGGTGTGGGCGGCCAATGGGGTAATGATATGTCTTTACCTCTCTACACTATTCTCTGGGCTTCAGGAGGCCTTGACCTTTAGCCCTTCTGCAAATACTCTGTTCAAATTTCTGCATATATAGGGTGGACACAAAATAACTAACATCTGTTATTCTGCATTAAAAATGAAGCAACAAAATGGGATAAAATCCATAACTAGATATTTCTTCTCCACTGGCCTTTTGAAAGAATAGCAATCTATTTTCACAGCAGGCAACTTAGAAGGTGAGCAACTGAGACAGAAAAGGGTGCAAAAAGCCAAATGAGCTCATGTCGTCAGCCAGGATCAGCAGTGTGACTTAAACTATTCACCACCTTACAACTGCGTAGCCAGATCAATTCCGGGTGGATTACAGATTTAAAGTAAAAAAGTTAAACCTATGAGAAAACTAGAAAAATACAGATGAATATGAATCTGCTTCCAGAAGTCAAGAAGGGCTTCCTGGGTGGAAAGCCGTGAAAACCCATATAACAATCAAGTAGGCCCAGCTACTTGGTGAGGTGGTCGGGAGCTGCTGTGCGAGGCCGGAGGCCATACAGTGAGCTCTGGGCTGGTGGGTGGGTCTACCTGAGCATGCCCTTGGGGCCTGTAATCCTAGCTGACCGCAGAGAGGACCCTATTGAGTGCGCCTCTTTCTCTCTCTGTCTTGCTTTGTCTCTGTCTTAGGAAATGAATAAATACACTTCTAAAACATCTAACAGGGGGACCAGCAGTTAGCGTAATGGCTATGTTGCTGAACTCCCATGTAGTCGGCCACGGTTTGAGTCCTGGACCTGGTGGCTTAAACTCATGCCAGGCACGTGAGCATACATGCCCAAGATCCTGAGAGGAGAATGGAGGAGAAGGGATTGCAGTGTGGCTATCCCCCCTGGGGGCGTGATTTCTTGCTTTCTGTCTCTGTGTCTCTCTGGCAAGCTCATGCACCCTGAAAAAAAAAAAACCTAATAGGTTTTACTGTAAAAACCTCAAAAAAACCCCAAAAAACTAATAGATTTTACTGTATAGAAACAAAAGTTTCAGAAATTAAGAATGGAAATAAAATGTTTAAAGCACTCGAGCTGGGAGGGAAACAATTGCAGCACGTATGATTAGCTTAGTATTCTTACCAGATAGTAAAAAAAAAATGACAAATTGCTGGAGAACCCATAGCAAGGACCGTGTGTTCTGTGACTCTGCAGTCCACAAGCATAGACACCCCTGGGGGGGTGATTTTTTTCTTTCTGTCTCTGTGTCTCTCTGGCAAGCTCATGCACCCTGAAAAAAAAAAAAACCTAATAGGTTTTACTGTAAAAACCTCAAAAAAACCCCAAAAAACTAATAGATTTTACTGTATAGAAACAAAAGTTTCAGAAATTAAGAATGGAAATAAAATGTTTAAAGCACTCGAGCTGGGAGGGAAACAATTGCAGCACGTATGATTAGCTTAGTATTCTTACCAGATAGTAAAAAAAAAATGACAAATTGCTGGAGAACCCATAGCAAGGACCGTGTGTTCTGTGACTCTGCAGTCCACAAGCATAGACAGGTTTCTAGTGAGTAACACACTAAACAAGCACTGTATCTTTTAAGCAGCTATATGTGGTTGAATGCCTACCGTGAGCATGTATTACCGCCAGCAACTGCAGCACGTCTGCAGGTTACACATCAGGTTCTCCATTCTACCAAAGGGGTAACCGCATCCAATCTAAGTGTTAGAGCCTGTCTTCTAATCCAAAGCTCCTTCCTCCAAGGTCTTCTCCCTTCTTTCCTTTCAGCCACCTGCCTTCAGATAAATGCTTACTGAATGGAATTGAATGGCAGGAAAACAAATGTTTAGCTTACTTAATGAGAAACGTGACTTCTGTTTTTCCAACGATGTCTTGTTAAGCAACATTCCTTGAACTTAAGCAATGCCAGTGATGATGAGAAATAAATTTTACTTTTGCAGGGGAGTCGAAAGCTCCATAGAAGCTCCCAGCTCTGACACTAAATTGTTTAGTGATTTAGACGAGATATGAAATTGCTTCAGGTCTCAGAATCCTTCTCTGTAATATAGGGGTAATAAAATTGATACAGAGAAGTAAGGAAAATGTCCAAGGTTGTACAGTAGTGCTGTCCAGAATGGGAGTCACACCAGGCGGCCCATCTCCAGAGCTGGCTAGTTCTCAGGGTCCATGTAGTGTCTCGGAGATAATGTATGTACGCGAGCTTTGGAAGGATAAACTAGACACACTGGATGAGTGGGCTAAAACCTGAAGTAATAAGCCTAGTTTTTTGGTACAAGAATTGTAAAAATTAGAGTTTGATAGGGACGTTCCCAGATGTCTCAGGGTGTCCTCTGTGACCTGTAATCTATTTTTTTTCTTTTTTCTTTTTTTCCTACGGAGAAAGAGAGAGAGTGAGTGAGTGAGAGTGAGAGATAGAGAGAGAGGAGATACCTGTAATCTATCTTTTTTTTTTTATATACTTTGTTTTTTATTATAAATTTTTTTTTCTCATCACAACACACATATGAATTTTCCATCCAAAATACACTGTGCATTGGCTCAATCAAGCACATCAACATATATGTTCTCAGCAAATGATTTCCCAATTTTTGTGTCCTGCATACCTTGCCTTTTGTTTTGCCATCCTAGATTCCCCATCCCCACCCTCTGCCATGTCCCATCTTCCTCCTCCATTGTCCCTGACATTCATGATTGCCCTCAATGGCTTCCACCCCCCCCCATTCAATTGTTCTACCAATGAACTCAATTTGTCTAAATATATCCACTAGCTAGCACAGCTGAAATATACACATACTATAAAGTAGTCCCCAGTTGTGTCCATACACCTCTCAGTCATCAAATGTGCATTTTTTTTTTCCTCCTGCTTATTACTTTTTTTATATTAAATTATATTGCCTAACACTCATTCCCTGAGTATCATCACAACACACCAAGTGTAGTTTCCCATCTAGGATAAACTGCATAGTGTCTCAATCAAGCATGTCGTCACCAATACTGTTCCATTTCTACTTTCATACATATAAATATGTTTTTTATCCTATGTTTGACCCTCAGCCCTTTCCCCCTCTCCCAATTACTCTATCTCTGCTATAGACAGCTATCCTCCAGAGGGGTCATTGAAAATGCGATACCTGCGAGTAGAGGGAGAGGGGCCAGGAGTCCAAAGTTTTTAACAATAGGGAAAATAGATTCCATTCAAGGTTGGATCAAGTGTGGGTCTCGTGCAGTTCCGCAACTGTAGGTGAGTCTCCATGGAATACAGTCTCCGGAAGGCAGTTCTGGCAAGCAGAGTTGACCATCAGTTGATGCGGCACAGCAGCCATCTTGTGGTTAGAAGGAATGGTGTTGTGGAGGTCTGCAGCGTGACTTATCCTCTGGTGTCTGGCTTCCCTAAGAATGGCAGGGTAGTTCCTGTTCTTGCCTGAGGTAATGCAGGGCTGGTATCCATCATCTTCTCACTGTCCATAGGTAGATAAAATCCTTCTCTATAGTGTATTTCTCAGTTGGTTTAAGGCAGTTAAAGGTTCTTTCTGTTGCTTATAGTTGCAAGTTCTTTATCCTTCTCTTCAGCTGGCTGTC